CAATAATCTAGTTTCTATTCCACTTTGGAATGTCCTTTTTAATTTTCATTTAAATATGGTATCTCTAAAATTTAGGAATTTATTTAAAGCCACACTACAGAAAAGGGCAAATCCATAAATACATAATCTTGTGATTTATCCCCATATTGGGAACTGAAAGTGTGTGTTAGGCTGATGTCAAAGACCTAGTAGAGAATGGTTTGTAATTTTTTTTACAAGTTCATTTTTATATTCTTGGACTTTAAGAACAAAAATTATGAGTAGTTTTATTATTTTTCTGCTAATAAAAACATTTCCACATGGAAAACAAAGAGTATTCCCTTTCAAATCTTCCCTGAGAGAGTCAGGTTAAATAACTGAGTTTCATTGAGATACAAAAATTTTTTAAAATGTTATTGATTTCAGAGTGGGGAAATGGAAGGGATAGAAACATCAATGATGAGAACCATTGATTGGCTGCCTTCTGCATGCTCCCTACTGGAGAATCAAGCCCTCAACTTGGGCATGTACCCTGACAGGGAATCGAACCTGGACCTCCTGGTTCATGGGTCAGTGCTTGACTACTGAGCCACACTAGCCTGGCTACAAAGTGTTTTTTAAAATACTAAAAAAAGAATATAAGCCCTAGCTGGTTTGGCTCAGTGGATAGAACTTCAGCCTGTGAACTGAAGGGTCCCAGGTTCGATTCTGGTCAGGGGCACATGCCCAGGTTGCAGGCTCGATCCCCAGTAGGGGTCATGCAGGAGGAAGCCAATCAATGATGTTTCTCTCTCTCTCTCCCTTTCCCTTCCTCTCTGAAATCATTAAAAAAATATTTTTTTTAAAAAGAACTACATTAACAAAGCAGTGTAGTATTAATTTCTATCATTTAGTTTTGTATGTGAATATATAGTTTTGAATAGTGGATGTATTCTAAAATATTTTGTGCAAAAATACTAAAATGAACAGCAATGTCAGCAACCAAATGGAGATATGTTACAGAATTTTAAAATACTTTTTGATAGAGATCATTGATTAAAGTTTTAGTTTTGAACTGTGTAAAATAAATCAAGGAATAAGTTCTTATATAACCAAAACTAAAACATAGCAAAAATGCTGACAATATTTTTGCTTGAAATATTTAGTATTTTAAAATAGTATTTGAAGGTTAAGGCAGAATCTTATTCTGAAAATTAAAGGATCAGTCAGGACACATTTCTTTTTTACCTTTTAATATAGATAATAAAAATATCTTGAGAGTAGCAGTTACTTCTAGCTTTGCTTTATTTTCAAATAAAAAATTAGGTGAATTAATGGATTCATACACCTTTATAAGTAGAAAAGGACTAAAAGAGTTCTACCTTAACACAAATTCAGTTATTTTCTGATATTGTCAGCTGAGGTAGTATATAATTAATCAATATTGACTTAATTTTAGAAAATCATGGGAGGATCATATACCACCTATACCTAATAACTTTGTTTAGGACTCTACTTGATATGTGTTGTATGAGAAATCTGTAACATGATGATGCTTTAGTAAAATACAATACCTGTTTTCAAATATTAAAAAATAGACCAAACCCCAAACATTCTGATTTTGTTGTTTAAAAAATTGCTTTCATTTTAATGATCTGAGTTAGTAACAAACAAATATACAAAATTATCTTTCACATTTCCATACATTGTATTATGGACCACTTAAAACTCTGGATTGCAAATGTAGGTTTCTTTGTATCCTTAACTTCAATTATTGCCACTTATAAATAAAGGTGATTTACAAAAACATGCAGTTGAGAACACAGATGCTAAAAGTTGCACATGGAAGTTAATGTACAACCAGTAGCGTACATTGTTCATTTGTGCAGTTTATGTGTCGAATGCAACTGACGCAGAAGCAGTTATCCTGGGATTTTTCACTCTAATTAAAAAGCATTTTTGAGCAACAGATGAAGGTACAGTTTAAAACAAAAACTGTATTCTACAAATACAATAAAATTCACTTGTACAGCTGAAGAAACTTTTGGGACCCAAAGCTGATTCAATAACCCTGCTGCTACATTGGTTTTATGGGTATATTGCCAAAGTCATAGGTTGGAAAATAGCTGAAAATAAATATGTATAGTAAAAGGAAAGTGAGACTAAAAAACGTGAGGAAAGCTTTGAAAATAGTAGTAACGTATGAGTCATCTATAATTTTCATTTTTAAATTTCAGAAACTTGAAGATAATCTGAACATTTTCTAAGCCGTTTAAAATTTTAAGATTTTTCCATCATACTGTTTTCTAGGCCACTTCCCCAACCACTAATCTGCACTATAAACAAACACCAACATATGACTTTTTATATTAAATTGTTTCCAGATATCTGTAGGTAAAAAAAAATCTAATCTTCCTTAAACATGTTTTTCTAGGTTGTGGCAACATGTGCTTTACCCCTCTTTAACTCAATCTACAACCTAAAGTTATTTCTATATTATAAATTTTAAGCTCCCTGACAAGGAATGTGAATGTTACCCAGCTGGATATTTATTCAGCTTCTTAAAGGACTTATATATGGTTGTCATAATTGTCCCACTTTCTCTTAAAGCCCAAGTTTGATGTAATCTCATGTAATATGGATTACATGAGAAAAAAATGGTACAAAACAATGGATCTCTTCCAGGCAGTATTATAGACTTGGCTTCTGATGTTATTGAAAACACTTGTTTTATTACAATGAATACAACTGCAAACAGTTTGAGGACAACTGCAGTTGAAAAGAAAATGGGTGGTTTTCTACAGGAAACATCTGTTTTCCATGGACCTTGTGAAGAAAATGTGGCTAGTGATTTCAAACATGTACTTCAAGTTACCTAAATGCAACACAGCTTCTAAAAAAATATAAATCATCAGTGATTCAGGCAAGAAAGCTGGGGGAGTAAAGATGTATACTTAAACACTACATTAGGAGATGTAGTTACCTACTCTGTACTTTGAAATGAAAGAAACCAATTCTGTCCAGAGTCAGTACCAGAAAGAGATATAGCTGCTTCCTACTCTTCTACATAACAAAATTAATTTTATGATGCTTTCACTTGCTGATAGTTTCTTATTTGAACTATCAAAATGAATCTAGGTTATTTTTGTTTTCAAAATAAGCTGCCTAAACAGGTGTTGTTTTTATAAAACTTTCAGAAATGAAACATTCAACCCTAGAGAGAAACTTTGTTTTGAGTATCTTGTCTAATGGCAGGTACAAAGATTGTTGAATTAAGGATTATTGCTTTTAAAAAGATAACCATCAGAAATAAATATGTAAGGTTAACTCAATACTCATTTTTCACTCAATGCTACGTTTTATTCCCAAATCAAGTCACATGTTACCTTCAATTCTTTGCCAGTTTACTTCGGTTTTTAATTATAAGAAGTCAGCCTGTTAACTCAAAATGAAGACAATAGCAATAGCTACATAAGCACATCTTATCTGGGCATTGAGCAGTAACACTGCTTTCTTGATAGGACTTAAGGCACTAAATGGTAGTAAAATAAACAAAAGTATGATGATTAACAAGTTCTTTAGAATCCTAAAAAAAGGAGATCATTTAGAAGGACACTATTAAATCTTTTTCTCAAACAAATAAGGCATCCTGTTGGCAAACACAAAAAACACAAGGTCATGTTGAACCTAATACATTCACTGTCTCTCAGCTAAAGTACTTGACAAATTGACAAATTAACTAGCTATGATAGCATGTATAAAGGTTGGAAAGGCACCAAGGAGAGCTCTACCACTTCCAGTTCTGAGAGTCAGGTAGGCTGTGTTTAACACTGCATGCATGTAATCTAATTATAAATTTTATTCTTTAAAATGTATAATGTGGTTAGATTTTTGTTTCAACAAATCAGTTAATCAAATGCTTGTTTAGTAAGAAATTTATTCTCATGAATCAGAAAATTACAGCAGTGTCTAACACAACCCCATTATAAAGCTAAACTAATTCTAGTACTGAATGCATATTCTGGATAACACTGAAGCAAATCTGTATAAACAAAAAGGTTACCTCAAGATAGAATTCACAATTGAAATTCAACATATAACTAAATAAGATTTACTGAAAATGAAAAGTGTAGTACAGGTACATCAAACAATTATAATCACAACATTTTCCTTGTGAAAAATACAACTATTAGTGAAATAAAATGTACAATTGAAATTTTTTTCCAAAGGAAAAAAAAAACAGTATAAAGGAAAATACTTTTCTTCGAGATAAGGAAGATAGTATGTCATTGTTGTTTTTTTTATCACAATATAATTTGACACAAAAAGCAGTCATAGAATTGCACCAATTCCACATCCAGTTTCCTGAACATGTTAAGAGTAAAAGGAGTTTGTAAAGCAGAATGCAGTTTCTGAATTTTATATTTTAAATTGATGATATTCTCATACAGAATGTCATAGCACACCAGATCTGTTTACACATATACAATACTTTCTGTTTTGTGGCCAGACATGAATACAAACATATGATTTCAGCCACCTTTCTATCATTCTGGTGTTTAGTCAGAGTCAGGAAAAAATAATCAAGCTACTTAAGTGTTACCTAACAATAAAGAAAAATTATATTTAGTGCATGCTTCATCATTTGTCAAAAAACATTTCTGAAAATAAAACTCAGTTACCAAATGGTTTACAAAATAGAAAAATCATTCATTAGGATAAAAATGTGGTGGGACGTAGATCCATTTTCGAAGGACTGACTTCCTTGGCAGCACCACTGTCCTTCAGCAGAGGTCAGGATGCAAGCAAGTTCTATGGCCAGAGCAGGTGTGCCTGCAGGAGATCACTACTCGACATTTGATTATCCAAGGCTCTAGACCAGCGGTTCTCAACCTGTGGGTCGCGACCCTTTGGGGGTCGAACGACCCTTTCACAGGGGTCACCTAAGACCATCGGAAAACACCTATATAATTACATATTGTTTTTGTGATTAATCACTATGCTTTAATTATGTTCAATTTGTAACAATGAAATTGGGGGTCACCACAACATGAGGAACTGTATTAAAGGGTCGCGGCATTAGGAAGGTTGAGAACCACTGCTCTAGACCAACTTTGATCACTCCCTCCACCATTTCATTAGTGCTACAAAACAGATGAAAATTTTCTGGAAATGTTAGAAGCATTTCTGCTGTACATGATTTAGAAGTTCTCCAAATTTTTCAAATAGGTCTTCTACCCATTTTACATTTTTCATACAAAGCTGAACAATTTCTTCTTGTCCTAAATCTTCATTTTTCTTCTGCACAGAAGAGATCTAAAATAAAGAGAATTGCCACATTAGCTTATACTTATCACTTTATAAGCTCTTTATAAAGACTATTTCTATATCCTGAAAAGAGGATTTATTAATTCACCTATAAGTACTGATCTTTTTTTTCAAAACCCATCCACAGAGAATAATTATTTCATGTACATTTGAATGAAGTCTAATCCTATCATTTTTGGCTCCCTGGGAGCAAGGAAGAAGGCCAGGAAAAGTGGTTCAAACTTTTTAAATTCCTTTCAGTTGTATTAAAAGCAGAATGACAAAATTTGAGGTCAATATTTCCTTTAAGATAATGTAAAAATAGTGAACATATTTTGCATGACCACCTTTACTTTCTCCTTTGCTAAACAGAGGTTAGATTTAGTACATCTTTTGAAACCAGACCATTATGAAATACATTACATGTAACTGTGAGTAAACTTAACCCTTTTTAATTAAAAACAAAACAAAACACCTGATAGTACTATCTACATTTAAACCCTGAGCGAGTTAATCCTGATATCCCATCCACAAAGTGGTACTATTGTCATATATAATTTCTAAGCAACTTAAATTATGATACTTAAAAGCTACAATTAAATGTTAACTATCATTTCTTCATGCCAAGGAACAAAACCCCATTTCTCTATAATTGAAAAGGATAGGGCCATTCTAGTGATAAGGAAAACAGTGAGATATATGTGACTGAAGTATATTAAAACAGGATCATTATACATTGAGAAGAAAATACAATAAAGTACCATTTATTATGGCAATGTAAACCAAGCACCCACAACCTAAAACATTACCACTTATAGCTCCTTTGAGAGGCGGTGAGCCTCAGATTAATCTGAGCACAACACACCAGAGAGGCTAGGAGCAATCTTCTAGTCATTACTTACTGGAGAATATAGAGACATACATTTTCAAGCAATTCTCTTTGACACATTAAAAATACTATAGCTACAGTCTCCTTAAAGCATGGAAAAACATACATTTTGTTTTTAAATAAATGAAAAAATAATTACCTCGTCTTTACATATCAGATAAACATGATATTTATAATGATGGAGTGAATGATACAAAGAATATAGCTGTATTTTCTCTGGATCAACAGCAAACTCCTGTAACAAGAAAACAGTTTAGAGATATATTTATTTCATGGAGCACCTGAGCTAAGAACACTTTTATAAAAATACTAGGCTAAAAGTTTCAAAGGAAATATTAAAAGTGACTTGTATGGCTAGATATTAGCTCGTATTAATAAGCTGCTATTAATAAGAGGCTTATTCAAAATAAGAATATAACTTGTATTTTTAAACCTTCACTTTTTTTTCTTGAACACAAATATACACTACTTCAAAATATTTAACCATTATAGAAAAGTTTAAACAGTGAAGATATAAGATGATTTATAAAGTAAAAGAATCCTTAATTTCTTGGTTCAGAGATAAACAAGATTAACAAAATGTTATATATTTCCCATGTTTTCCTCCATGTATAACATATATTTCTATAACTTCTTTTTTAGCCTAACTAAAACATGGGTATCTATTTATTACATACTCCATCCCCAATATAAATTAAATGAGGGCAGGAAATTTTGACCCTTTTTCACTGTTGTATTCTTAGTACTTAGAAGTGTATTTGGCATACTACAAGCACTAAAAAAAAACCCAAAAACTTTATTGAAAGAATGAATGAATCTATCACTTCTTTTTCTGAATAGGCATTAATTTAGACCATGCTTGAAAATGAATCAATTTCAATTTTAACAATTTTGCAGATATGTGGTCAACACTGAATCTTATTAAATGTGTGCACACTCATTTATCTGTATGCATTTGTATCCAATGACAAAAAAACTATAAAATATACATACAAGCATGGTATTTCCTTGCTTACTAGGCTATTTAAAAAATTTTTGAGCACTTACTATATTCCAGATACTGTGCTAGGTAATGGAGAGAAACAAAGAATAAGACGGAATCCCTGCTTTTTAGGCCAGAGCGGCTCATTCCTACCTGAAAATAATTCAAATTTAACAATACAGTAAAATATTTGCCTGCCTCAATGTTTTAATTAGAATTATATCAACAACTGGAAGAGGTATAATAACATCAATCAATATATACTTACTTGTGCAGATTTAATGGTTGTTTTAGAAGTCCTTAGAGTTTTCTTATTATAAGCTTTGCCATTCATTTTGATTTTAGAAACAGCAGATCCCCCACTTTTTGCTTTAGAGTCTCGAGTAATTATTGTTAGTTCAGGAAAACTTTCCAAAGCATTCTTTAAAATAAAGCAAAAATAATTGACATCAGAAGAAAACTAATTTACACTCCTTATAGCTACTCAAATTTACTTTAAAAAATATATAAACGTTTACATACATGTACATATACACACAAATATATATATTGGGAACACTGATTGGGTGTGGCATATATGATATTCAAATACACACATACGTGGAGTGTTAAACATGGCCAAATTCTTTGCAGCTCCCCCCATCAAGATGTGAATCTTAACTATATTTATGGTGATCATTTTGCAGTATAGACAAATATTGAATCCTTGCTATACACCTGAAACTAATATAATGTTGTATGCAATTATACCTCAAATAAAAAAATGTAGATTCTATTTCCCCATCCCTTGAATCTGGGTCATCCTTATGACATGCTGTAAGCAACCCCACATGACACTATGGGAACTCCTGAATGAGGCAGAAAGTTCTTTGCAATAATGCCTTTCTGGTTTCAATGTAGGGGAAAGAGGGACACATACAAATGCTTTTAATTTATGATGGGGTTATATTCTGATAAACCCATGCTAAGTTGAAAATACTGTAAGTTGAAAATGCATTTACCACTACACTACAGAGCATTGTTGTTTAACCTTGTGATCACGAGGCTAAGTGGGATTTGTGGGTCCCTGCTGCTGCCCAGCATTATAAGAGAGTATCATACCACATATTGTAGCTCAAAAGGTCAAAATTCAAAACTTGAAGTATAGCTTCTACTGAATTCATATATCTTTTTACACCATCTTAAAGTAAAAAAATTAAGTCAAACCATTGTAAATCTACTTAAGTTTCTTCAAAGCTCTACCAATTGAACCACTGTTAACACTAAAACTTGGTCAAGTCCTGGATCAGGGCAAGAAACAAGTGTTGTAATGTTCCTCTGGCTTCACCACTTCTCTTGCTTCTTTTGACTATAGGAAATGCAGTTGTGAAATAAGAGTGTAAAACAGAGTTTGATGAGTTTTGTGACCACAATGATACAATAGTTATCACTGATAATTTAGTGGCCATATGGCAGAACCAATTCTAGTCCATTCTTTAAAAGTCACTGGCATATTTATGCCCTTACCTACTTGGCAAATCATCCTGACATGAAAAGCTACAAACAATAATTGAAACCTGGCCACAGTGGGCTCAGTGGTTGAGCATTGACCTATGAATCAGGAGGCCATGGTTCAATTCCCAGTTATGGCAAATGCCCGGGGTGCGGGTTCGATCCCCAGTGTAGGGCGTGCAGGAGGCAACTGATCAATGATTCTTTCTCATCATTGATGTTTCTAGTTCTCTCTCCCTCTCCCTTCCTCTCTGAAATCAATAAAAATATATTTAAAAAAATAATTGAATATTTTTAGCTATATTTAACTAGTTTGAATAGTTTTTAAAAATTGAGCTACTAGCATTTAATATTTTGATACTAAAAGGGTTTAAGAGTTCACATTATCTTTATTTTCCCCCATTATATTTATTATACAAACTAGAGGCCCAGTGCACAAATTCGTGCATGGGTGATCAGGGCCAGCTGGCCAGGGGGAGGTACTGTGGGAGGTTGGCCAGCTGCAGGAGTGCACTGACCATCAGGGAGCAACTCCTGTGTTGAGCGCCTGCCCCCTGGTGGTCAGCGTGCGTCATAGCTACTCGTCGTTCAGTTGTTCCGCCTTAACGGTCGCTTAGGCATTTATATATATAGATTGTACTTCTCATTTGATAAACTGAACTGTTTTATAAACAATCATAACCTTCAAGGCCACTCTTTTCAAAACCCGTGTGAGTTCCCAAACACCTGGTATTCCTAACAACGCATTTTTAAACAGAGACCCTAATGTTTTTATATATAAGTGTAGGAGGGAACTAAGTTTCATTTAATAGACACAATAGAATTTTTACTATTTCCTACCAGAGTGAGCTATCACTAATTTCTAGCTTCATTTTCTTAGATTATTTGTGCTATTATATACTTTGGTGTTTTCCTTATAAAACATGCCCAGGCTTGAATTACTCTTTATAACAAATGGAATTTAAAGACCAAAAAATAAAAATAAATGGATTTTACATTTGGGAACAATGAACACTAGGTCAGTGTGCAGACGAAAGGAGAAAACTTAAGTGCTCTTTCTAATAAGCACAAGATGCTAAAGATGACTGGAAGTAAATAGGATTCAGAGGAAATAGATCATTAACTTCAAAAAACTTTAGGATTCCTAAAATTACCAGGATCATCATGGGAAGTGGGGTTAATTATTTCTAAAGAATAGAAAATATTTTATAATCTACTGTTTGTAATATTTTATATCAAATCATTCTAAATTTTAGTACTGTTTGTGTATTGTAGCTTAGAAATGGCTATAAATGAAAATTATCAAAATTAACTAATTTTAAAAATTTTGTTTTTTTCCGTGAAAATAAGAATATCAAAACTAATTTTTCACTTGCTTATCATAAACTATTACATAAGCTTTAAATATCTACTGAATCTATTAAATTTCAAGTGGTAGCTTCATTTTAATGCAAGTTATTAGAGAACTGGTTTGATATTTAAAACATGGTTAGCCAAAACTGGTCACTATTAAGATTTAATAAATCTTTAGAAAACACACATCTAAGAATATTCTCTTGTCTCTAGAAACATGGTATTTCCCAAAGGATATTTCATTTGAAGAATAGTTAAGTGGAAAATACTTGACTAGGAGTCAGTAGACCAAATTCTTAGTAATGAGCTTCTTACCAACTTTGGACATTTTTTCCCTACAAGTACATATCAGTGAAGAATATAGGACTACTGGTAGAGTTTGGTGTCAATTAATTTTGAACTCAGTGTTCAGAGCCTTAATTTTCACCTAGCTAAAATAAAATCAATTTTCACTTTTATGTGGAGTTCAGATAAAACAGTGATGTGAAAAAGCTATACAAATTACCCAAAGAAATTGAAAATTTAAGCCCACACAAAAACCTGCACATGGATGTATATAGTAGCTTTATTGATAATTGCCAGGATTAGGAAGCAACCAAGATAACATTCAGGAGGTGAACAAACTGGTACATTCAGACAATGGAATATTATTCAGTGCTAAAAAGAAATGAACTATTAAGTTATGAAAAGACATGGCAGTACCTTAAATGCATATTACTGAGTGAAAGAAGCCTATCTTAAAAGGCTATACACTATATGGTTTCAACAATATGACATTCTGGAAAAGGTAAAAAGAGACAGTAAAAATATCAGTGGTTGCCAAAGGTCGGGGGTGGGGGGGGGGGAATGACTTGACAGAGCACAGAGGATTTTTAGGGCAGTGAAACTACTCTACATGATACTATAATAGTGGATACATGTCCAAACCCATAAAATGTGCAACACCGTAATGTCAACTATGGACTTTGGGTTATAGTGATATGTCAGTGTAGGTTCATCAATAATAAGAAATGTATCATTCTGGTAGATGTTGATAACTGGGGAGGTTGTTCGTGTGTGTGTGGCATATGGAAACTCAATTTTGCCATGAAACTTCTATAAAAAATAAACTGTTAATAAAAAGAAAAGCTATACAAATATGCAAAAAAATTATCTGAAGATAGACTCAAACACTTTTAGATGTTATATGTTATACTCTGAATAAGAGCTGGAGAGTTTTTGACAACTAGGTAGCTTCTGTGATAAATTTTCTGAGTTTAGATTAACTTACTGTTGTTTTATATTTCTGATAACACTAAAAACAACTTATAGTGGCAAGATATATTAACAGATATAATTATATATATCTCCTACCATTATATGAGGATTAATTTTCCTCAGATATTGGCTAAATAAGGCAAGTAAAGGGAATTTTGATGACCATGCGAAGAAAATGCCAATTCTAACTATAGATGAAATGTGAAAAATTTGAAAAAGTTTAAAAGTAAAAAAGATTGGTATACAGTGGTAGTTTATAGGAAATATTTTTGAAACATTTATGAGTTATTTTATAGAAGGAATACTAGATAAATATATAAGCCTAAAAAATTAATTTAAGCAAAGAAAAGTAAACAGTTAACATTAAGAATATGTTTAATAGGAATAGAATGAACAACATAAACTGATGAACAAAAATAGATCCAGAAATATAGAAGCATCAAACAGACTGTCAAACCTCAGAGGGAAGGTAGGGGAGGGTGGCAGGGGGTAAAAGATCAACCAAAGGACTTGTATGCATGCATGTAAGCATAACCAATAGACACACACAATAGGGGGTGAGGGCCTGTACTGGGGGATGGGAGCAGGCTGGGAGTGGCCAATGGGGGCAAAAAGGAGACATATGTAATACTTTCAACAATAAAGAATTTTTTTAAAAAAGAATATGCTTAATAATGAAGACAAGCTAAAGACTCAATGAATAAAAATCAAATTTTTATTGGGTAAGGAAATTTTATAAAATGGAAAATGACTGTCATAAATTTCCTTCCTATTGTATTTAAGACTACGATTCTCACTGAGTTTGCTAATAAATCATCTGAAGAAAATACCTTGAATGATTGATCCAAATGAAGATTCACAAGAAGTCTCTTTCGGTTATCATTCAGCATGCTATCTATTTTTTTCATATGAGGCAAAAGTAGCTCATCTAAAACAAGATAAAAGTTTATTATAACAGGATAAACTATCAACTCAAAAACTCATTAAAGTTTTTCAAATCATTAACATATCAAGACATTAATTTAATTGGCTTATATAAAGTAATGCTTTTGAAAATTAGGACATGAAGTTTTCTGAACAAAAGCTAACTTGAAAAATAGGTTTACAATAGTCAAGTGAGAAAAAAGCATGATCCTAGTATGAAAGGATTAAAAGTCCTAGGTTTTACCCTTCTCCGCCACCAGAATTGATTGATAGCAGTGATTTGACAAGAAGGCAAGCTGTCTGATTTCTCCAGACCTCATTTACCATCTGAACAATAATAGCATTATAATTATTGGAAATTTATTTAACACTAGAGGCCCTGCACCAGTGGGGTCCCTCAGCTAGGCTGCGGGATAGGGCCGAAACCGGCTCTCTGACTTCCCCCGAGGGGTCCCGGATTCAAGAGGGCACAGGCCAGGCTGATGGACCCACCGGTGCACGATCGTGGCTGGGGAGGGATGCAGGAGGTTGGCCAGCTGGGGAGGAACTGTGGGAAGGCTCCAGGGCATATCTGGCTCGTCTTGCTCAGTCCCAATCTGCTAGACCCCAGGAGCAAGCTAACCTACTGGTCAGAGCATCTGCCCCCTGATGGCCAGTGCATGTCATAGTGAGCGGTTGAGCGACCTTAGCATATCATTCGCATATTACCCTTGATTGGTTCAACAGCCAATTGACCAGCCACTTAGCATATTAGGCTTTTATTATATAGGATTATAAAATTTTCTAAAATACTGAGTATGATATTCTTAATTCACTGTAGTTTGGGGCAAAGAAAAAGTAGGGAAAGGCCCTGGCTTGGTTGGTTGGAGTGTCATCCTGTATACCAGAGGGTTGTGGGTTCAATCCCCAGTTAGAGCATGTGCAAGAGGCAACCCATCGATGTTTCTCTTTCTCTCTCTCTACCTTCACCACTCTCTCAATCAATAAAAAAAGCATGTCCTCAGGTGAGGATTAAAATAATTAGGTAACTTAAAAAAAAGTAGGGCAAGAAAAATGATCAAAATCCAGTTTTAAAAACACAAGAGTCAACATAGTTATTTTTAAAAAGGAGAGAGTAAAAGTATAACAAGGATTCCAACCTAAAACTTTCTGCTTCCTTCTTCACCCCTCTGAAATGTTAAGGACTTTTAAGAAAAGCACCTTCAGAATATACGTTTAATTACTTTTGGTGTTGTATTAAATATTTTAGGTTATTAGATGATTTCTTTTTCTTTCTTTGTTCTTTGCTTTCTTTTTCTCAATAATCCTCATCTGAAGACGTGTTTTTTTTGTTTTTGTTTTTAAATATATTTTATTGATTTTTTACAGAGAGGAAGGGAGAGGGATAGAGAGTTAGAAACATTGATCAGCTGCCTCCTGCACACCCCCTACTGGGGATGTGCCTGCAACCAAGATACATGCCCTTGATTGGAATCGAACCTAGGACCCATCAGTCTGCAGGCTGACGCTCTATCCACTGAGCCAAACCGGTTAGGGCTGAAGACATGTTTTTATTGATTTTTTTAGAGAGAGGAAGGGAAAGTGAGAAACCTCAATGTGAGAGAGAAACATCAATCAGTTGCCTCCTTTATGGCCCCAACTGGGGATTGAACCTGCAACCTTTAGGTGTACAGGATAATGCTCCAGCCAACTAAGCCACTAGGACAGAGCTAGATGATGATGTTTTATAACATGAATAATCTTTAATGACCTTTCTGAAAATGTATATATAATCCTCCGGATCTAGTTTCTAATTTCAGAGATGAATAAAACCACTCTTTATATATTAAAATACAAACACAAGCACAGTGACTAGTGAAAGAACACGTCCCCTAATTGAAGAAAAAGTCCTTAGTGAGGAACACTTTTTAAGGTCACACAATAACACACCTGATAGTTTTCTTTTATCTTTCTAGTAGTGATTAATTCTATTCAAATACTATGAGAAATTCATTAAACAAAGACAAGTTTTACATTATATCAATTTTTAAATATAACCATTAAAATCTTTCCCCCTCATATTATATGGAGAAAAATAAGCAATATTAAAAAATCATTTAAAATACAACTGTTGAGAAATAACCACTACTAAGAGATGTGTATTTTATGATGCAAGAAGCTTTGAGAGTGGAAAACATTTAATGGCAAAAATACCAACCCAGAAATTAAGTATTGTTTTTGTTGTTGTTAATTCTCACTTAAGGATACTTTTCCATTGATTTTTACTTTTTTTTTCTTAAATATATTTTATTGATTTTTTACAGTGAAGGGAGAGGGATGATAGAGAGTCAGAAACATCAATGAGAGAGAGACATCGATCAGCTGCCTCCTTTACACCTCCTACTGGGGATGTGCCCGCAACCAAGGTACATGCCCTTGACTGGAATCGAACCTGGGACTCTTCAGTCCGCAGGCCGACGCTCCATCCACTGAGCCAAACCGGCTAGGGCTCCATTGATTTTTAGAAAGTAGAAGCGGGGAAGCAAAGAGAGAGAAACATCTATGTGAGAGAGAGACATTGATTGGTTGCCTCCCTCGGGGATTGAGCCTGCAACCAAGGTACATGACCTTGACCGCAATGGAACCCAGGACCCTTCAGTCCATGGGCTGACAGTTTATCCACTGAGCCAAACCAGCTAGAGCAACTATTGGGTTTTGATCATGGTTCATCTACCACTAACTTGTTAACTTAGGAAATACATTTAATCTTTTTGAACCTTAGTCTACCAAATAAATATTTTTGACTAGACAATCTCTAACTCTAAAATGATGTACAGATTATATCAGATGGTCAAAAAAGCATGGACCAGAAATTAGAAGACCTTTGATCTTAATCCTTTGCTACTTGCAAGCTGTGGGCCCTTAATCAAGTCACTTAACCTCTGATCCTCACTGTCTTTATCCACCAAAATGGATGTCCAAGTTCTTCTGGGATTGAAATGGAATAGCCCGGCAAAATATGTGGAAATAATAAAACAATATGTATTATTAGGCATTACTGTTGAAATATCTGATTATCTTTTGATCTTATACCTGTTCAATTCATTTTGATATAAGGGTAATGAAAATTAGCTCATTAATCCTTTCATTCCTTCTTAAAAAAAAAACAAGTATTGATTTGAGAGAGAGGAAGGGAGAAGGAGAGAGAGATAGAAACATGAATGATGAGAGAGAATCATTATTGACTGCCTCTGCACACCCCACACTGGAGATCAAGCCCACAACCTGGGCATGTGCCCTGACCAGGAATCAAACCATGACCTCCTGGTTTATGGGTTGATGCTCAACCACTGAGTCATACCAGCAGGGCTCATTCCTTCTTTTAGTTGTCCCTGGTAAAAACTAAAGTAGCTGAAGGCTAAATATTAGTGAGCAACATTAGCTATGTGAATTATAAGTTTATTTCATATATCAATTTTATCCCTATTTTATTATAATAAAAAATTACTAAAGTATAAAGAAATATTAATGAATGTAACCCAATGCATATAGTTTTACTACTAATAGATTAGAAAATAATTACTGTGATGTATCTTTTACTGGACACAAATATGAAGTTTCAATTTTTATATCATTATCTGATTCATCTTTCCAATTACTGTATCTGGATCTTTCATGATATACATGAAATATTATGAGGATGATAAAGATTCCACAGTTGAAAGAAACTATTGGTTAGTTACATAATTTTACCATGAATAGAAATCAATAAAAGTGCATCCAATATAAAGTTGTTCAAATATTCAGAAAAGTCATGAAAAGATATTACCATTTTACAGAATAAATATATATCATGGATTTGGTTTTTTAATTAATTATTATTATTTTAAAATTTATTTTTATTGTTGAAAGTATTACATATGTCCTCCCCCTTTCTTTCTCATTGACCTCCTCCCACCCTGCACCTGCCCCTCCCAGGCCTACACCACACTATTGTCTGTGTCCATGGGCTATGCATATCATTGATTTGTTAATGGACAAAGTATAGGTATATGTTATAAAAACCATACATTAAACACATAACTAAAACACAAGAATAAAATAGATCTATAAAGTACTACCAAAAAAGTACTACTTAACAGACTGTACCATTGCTCTTCTCTAAGGCTTGCATTGTGTCAGGGTCCAAAGCAATGCTAACAAGCAATTCCATGTAACTCTTAAAGGTTTCCTTCATTGCTCTTGTGTTCAAAAAACGAGTGACAAAGGGAGCTGGAGGATCAAATTCTGGGAGGGAGAAAAGATGAAATATTAAATATTCTTTCCTGACAACTTTAAAAAACAGGTTTCTCTATAATAAGACTGTATAAGCAGATGAAAGGATGTAGATAAAATTTCTCAAATTAAAATGGTTCTCCCACTCTGCCTTTAAAAACACCAGGGTGAGAGAATTTGAAAGCTTGTTTATACCTCAATCACTGGAGAGCTTTTAAAGCGAAACAACCGCCTGCCTCCCGCCCCGCACCCCTGCCCCCATTGCTAGATTTATTAAAACATGATCTTTGACAAGGGATGGAAGTTGCAATGAAGCTTAATTATACTTTATAAAAGGTTCCTAGGTGACTCTGAAGCCCAACACCAGTCCAGCCTCATCAGATCCTATTTCTCCTCCCTGGGCCCTATCACAGACAGGAGAAGTACATATAAAACGCTTCTGCTATGAAGTGTGATGGTTATCTCCAGGAAGATCATCCATATAACTGTTTGAGTCATAAAGTAAACTAGACACCTTTTCCCAATGGGACACCATTATTAAAAAAATAATATTGTATTGATTTTTAGAGAGAGGGGAAGGAGAGAGAAACATCAATGTGAAAGTGCAACATTGATCGGCTGTCTCCTGCATGCCTCCTACTGGGGACAGAGCCCATAATCCTGACATATGCTCCCATCAGGAGTAGAACCAGCAACCTCCTGGTGCATGGGATAACACCCAACCAACCGAGCCACAGCAGCCAAAGCTGGGACACCATTTTTATCTAAAAGAATGACCGACAGACACTGCATGCCTATTCAGACTTAAGTATGCCGCAGACATTTTCTTAAAAATCAATGCAGTGGCCATAGCTGGTTTGGCTCAGTAGATAGAGCATCAGCCTGTGGACTCGATTCTGGTCAAGGGCACGTTACCTTGGTTGCAGGCTCCCAGTCTTTGTGGGACAGGAGGCAACCAATTGATGCGTCTCTCTCACATCAGTCTTTCTCTCTGTCTCTCCCTCTCCCTTCCACTCTCTCTAAAAATCAGTGGAAAAACATCCTAGAGTGAGGATTAAAAAAAAATTTAATGAAGTGAATCTATCACTTCAAGGAAAACAACTAATGATATTTGTTGCCAATAATAAAAATTGAGGTTTCAAGTGAAAATTAGAATTCTGGAAAAATTATATCTACCATTGTCCCAATACTTAAAGACTTCATCAATGAGAATAGAGGTGGCATTAATAAATGTTATTTTTGATACTATAAAAATATGACATAAATGTAAGAGGTAAAACCATAAAACTTTTAAGAAAATATAGGAATAAATATTTATGACTTGGGACTTGGTAATGGATTCTAAATATAACACTGAAAGCAGAAGCAATTAAAGAAAAATTTGGCTTCATTAGAATTTCAAACTTTTGTGCATTAAAGGACATTATTTAAAAAGTGAAATGTTGCCCTAGCCCAGTGATGGCGAACCTATGACACGCGTGTCAGAGGTGATATGCGAACTCATTTTTTTGGTTGATTTTTCTTTGTTAAATGGCATTTAAATATATAAGATAAATATCAAAAATATAAGTTTTTGTTTTACTATGGTAAATATCAAAAAAAAATTTCTATGTGACATGGCACCAGACTTAAGTTAGGGTTTTTCAAAATGCTGACACACCGAGCTCAAAAGGTTCGCCATCACTGCCCTAGCCAGTTTGGCTCAGTGGATAGTGTGTTGGCCTGTGGACCCAAGGGTCCTAGGTTCAATTCTGGTCAAGGGCACATGCCTGGGTTTCAGGCTGGATCCAATGTGCAGGAGGCAGCCAATCAATGATTCTCTCTCATCACTGATGTTTCTATCTCTCTCTTACTCTCCCTTCCTCTCTGAAATCAGTAATAATAAAAAAAAAAGTGGAAGAAAAAGTGAAATGTCAACCTACAAATTGGAAGAAAATGTTTTTAAATTATATATCTGATAAGTGTTAAATATTCAGACTGCATAAAAAACACCCACAATTCAAGAACAAAAGGAAAAATGACCCAATTTAAAAATGTTCAAAGGATTTGAATAGACATTTCTGCATAGATAAGCAAATGGCAAGTACATGAAAAGATGCTGAACACCATTAGAGGTTAGGAAAAGTCAAAACCACAGTGAGACACCACTATAAATAACAAGTGTTGGTACGGATGTGAAGAAATTGGAACCCCCATGCATTGCTGGTAGGAATGTAAAATGGGCAACCATAGTGAAAAACAGCTTGGCAATTTCTCAAAAAACTAGACATACAATTGTCACATGACTCAGCAATTTCACTTCTAGGTATATACCCCAAAGAATGGAAAACAAGGACAGATATTTGTATGCCAATGTTCATTGCAGAGGGGAAACAATCCAAGTGTCTATCAAGAGATTAAAAATTAAACAAAATGAATGTATATACAGGTGTATAAACTTACAATGGGATAGTATTGGACCATAAAAAGGAATGAAGTTCTAATTCATGCTATAATATGGATGAACCTTGAAAACATTATGCTAAATGAAATAAGCCAGGTACACTTATACAAGATATTTAGAATAGGCAAATTCATGAAGACAGAAAGTAGATTAGAGATTACCAGCAGCTAGGGAAGGGGAGTTAATGTGCTTATAGTTACAAAGCTTCTGTTTGGGGTGATGAAAGTTTTGGAAATAGTTGTGATAGTTGCATAATAATGTGAATATAATGAATGCTACTGATTTGTATACTTAAAAATGGTTAAGCCCTAGCCGACTTGGCTCAGTGGATAGAGAGTCAGCCTGCAGACTGAAGGGTCCCAGGTTCGATTCCGGCCAAGGGCACATGCCTGGGTTGCGGGCTCGATCCCCAGTAGGGGGCGTGCAGGAAGCAGCCGAATGATTCTCTCTCATCATTGATGTTTCCATCTATCTCTCCTTCTCCCTTCCTCTCTGAAATCAATAAAGAAATATATTTTTTTAAAAAATAATAAAAATAAAAATGGTTAAAATGGCAAATTTTGTTCTATTTTACCACAACTTTTTAAAATATGATGAAAATGAAATAGAATATGTACATCAGTGAGCAAACAAGTATCTTCATATGACCAATGAAAGTTATAAAATCATTCATGGATCAAAGATATATTCAAAAGGTAAGATGAACCAATAGATCTTAATGTAACAGGAATGAAAAGTTGAAGAAACTACTACTTCTCAAGCTTGTCAAATAAAAAATTTCCTTGAGTAACAAAAATATCCATAATTATCTGAAAAGGTAATTAAAATACTCCTCCCTGTCCCAACTACATATCTATGTAAGGCTGAGTTTTCTTCATATACTTTAACCAAAATAATCTATATTATAAAAGGCCTGTGGCCGTAAGGCCCAAAGACTGAACTCACCAGGAGGTGTATTGATGGGTCCCGCGGTGGCTGCGGCAGGCAGGACTTGTGGGTCACCAGGAGGTGCATGGAGCACCTCTTGGTCCCCCCCAACCCCCGCCCCCGAAAGCCGCTCACGGAGGCGGGGCCTGCGGCTGGGGGCCCACGGCTTTCGGCAGCTAGTATATAATAACTGAATGTAGAAGCAAATATGAAAATGCTACTCTTCTAAATACTGTTAACTTAGGAAAATACAGTTGTTACAAAACTTAAGATCTAATTGGTTTATTTTAAAGAAATATTTTTAAAATTTGTTTTAACTGATACTTAGTAAATATAAATAATAGAAAACCTAAGTATTTTGGAATCCTCACTCTATCCTCACTTAAAGATTATTAAGAAGTTTTTTGTGTTTTTTTAAAAATATATTTTGCTGTAACCGGTTTGGCTCAGTGGATAGAGCGTCGGCCTGCGGACTGAAGGGTCCCGGGTTCGATTCCGGTCAAGGGCATGTACCTTGGTTTCGGGCACATCTCCAGT